CCACAGCACGGCCACTGACAGATGAGTGGTCTGCTCCCAGGAACTGAACTTGGGGTGCCAAAGCAGGGCATGCTGAACTTAACCACTAGGCCACTGGGGCTGGCCCTTCTTCCTTTTTTTTTTTGTGAGGTCAGCCCTGTGCTAACCTCTGCCAATCCTCCTCTTTTTTTGCTGAGGAAGACTGGCCCTGGGCTAACATCCATGCCCATCTTCCTCCGCTTATATGGAGCCACCATATATGGAGTCACTTTATATGACGCCACCGCAGCATAGCCCACCAAGCAGTGCGTTGGTGCGTGCCCAGGATCCGAACCAGCGAACCCTGGGCCACCGCAGCGGAGCGCGCGCACCCAACCGCTTGCGCCACTAGGCCGGCCCCAATCTTCCTTTTTTGTTTAATGTGGTGATGAGAAAGTTTAAAATGACATAGGTGGCTCAGAGTATGTGTCTACTGGGCAGCTCTAGGCTACAGGGTTTTCCAGGCCAGTGAAATGACATGAGCCAAGCCCAGAGTGAGCAACATCCCAGGATAGGGGGTGGGTTACACCATGCACCTTGGTTGGGGCATGTAGGGTGGGCAGTGCAGTGGGTAGCAGGCCAGGAGGATTTGTGGAGGGCAGGCTACTGAGGCCTGAACACCACGCTTAGGGCTGCAGCCCTACCCTGCAGGTGCTTGAAAAGGCTCTTTCTAAAAAGCAAGATGCCTGGACATTGCACAGACATTCGGTGGTGGATTATAAGAGGAGACTGGCAGATACTGAGGAAGTGAAATATTTGTAATTGTGGAGTCAAGTGCCGGCTAGCAACTGCTTTCCTATTCTAAGGCACTTACAGGTTGATTCATGGGCAATTTGAAACCATAAGCAGTTACGGTGATGAAACATATAGACCAAATGATATCACATTCTTTATCTCTGCCAGTGAGCACACTTTCCCCTCTGCCTGCTGTCACACACACTGTCACCTTGAAAGGTGTGATCCCATCACTGTCTCTGACGGGCTGAGCATGGAGATGTCACTTCTAACAGCACGGTGAGATATGGGCCCATTCAAAGACATATTAGGCAGCCTCTAAGAAAGCCAGCCTGCTTTAGCAAAAGGCAAGAGGGAAGAAACTCAAGGCATAAGCAGATTAGGATGTCATGGAAATGTAACTTTCACCTTAGTGCTTATTAGGTGATGATTTTAGAGGCAAGTTGTAAAAACTTCTGGAGAAGGAGATGAAATGATTGCACAAGTGAGCAGCTGGAAAAACTTGGGAGGTAAAAAGAAACATTAGCTTATCACGCATAATAACCGAGGCCAGTTAGAGCCCCCTGTTAGACATGCAAACATCAATGATGATTCTACACTTAATACAACACGTGGATCCACACAGAAGCCACTAAACATTCAGCTGGATTCTGAACGCAGTGTATCGGACTGCTTAGTACTGGTCACTCTGTTCCCCCCAGTACACCGAGCCAGCTGGGGGCTATTTGGTTCAGCTCAGGGCTATTTAAGGCTTGCACAGCACCAGCTTATAGTAGACACAAGATGCCTATGAATTAGTTGGGATGTCAACAGATAAGATTTCTTCCCATAATTTAATATGAAGGGTTCTATTTGCTCAGATTAAGTAGGAACTAATATTTCACAGACTAATAAGAATTTGGATATGAGTGAAGATCCACTGTCTCATTGAACAGGAAAAGACACTGAGGCCCAGGCAGGACAGTGACTTATCCAAGGTCCACACCTAGTCAGTAGGAGGGCTGGAAAGCAAGCCTGAGTCTCCTGTGTCCTATTCAGTGCTCTTATATGACTGGGTACATGCGGCTGACTCAAGGGCTGAGACGTCTTGGAATAAAACTCCTTGAGATGCTAGAAACAGGTTTTAGGGCAGTGGTTCTCAACATGGCTGCATAGCAGAATATGTGGAAGAAATTTTGAAAAATTTCTGGCCGCAAACCAGAGCAATTAATTCAGATTCTCTGGGGATGCGACCTAGACATCTGCATTTTTAAAAGACCTCCAGGTGTTCTAATCTGTAGTTGAGAATTACTGCCTAAGTGTAGTAATCTTGGTCACTGGTGGTGATCTTGGAGAAGACCCAGCTGTCAAAGGCAGGGAGGGCATCACCTGCCTGAGATGACTGCCATATCCAGGTCCATGTCATGGCCTCAGTTATAGAGGAGGTAGAGATCAAACCGGCAATATTATCTTGACCTCAAGACTTTTTTGTTAGCCAGACAGACACGGGTGAATTGCAAAGTCACCTTACTGGTGCCCGTAGAAGGAGATCATGGCACATCTACCAGCCCTGACCAGCTGATGTCAGCTTTGTTCTCGGTGCTGCAACGGATTCTCCCACCCTACCCCTATGTGACCAGGATGGTATACAAGCTAAGATGAACAAGTTGTTTTTTGTTTTTTTTTTTTAATTGAGGTCATACTGGGTTATAACATCATGTAAATTTCAGGTGTACATTATATTTCAGTTTCTGTATAGACTGCATCATGTTCACCACCAATTGTCTACTTTTTATCCATAACTGTACGTATGTGCCCCTTTATCACTTTCACTCTCTCCCCACCCCTTTCTCCTCTGGTAACCACTAATCTGTTCTCCTTATCTATATGTTTATCTTTCACCTAAGTGAAATCATACAGTAATTGTCTTTCTCTATCTGACTTATTTCACATAGCATAATACCCTCAACGTCCATCCACGTTGTCACAAATGGCACAATTTTGTCTTTTTTATGGCTGAGTAGTATTCCATTGTATATATATACCACATCTTCTTTATCCATTCATCCATTGATGGGCACTTGGGTTGCATCCACATCTTGGCTATTGTGTATAATGCTGCAATGAACATAGGGATGCATAAATATCTTTGAATTGTTGATTTCATGTACTTTGGATAAGTACCCAGTAGTGGGATAGCTGGATCATGTGGTATTTCTATTTTTAATTTTTTATGAAATCTCCGTACCGTTTTCCATAGTGGTTGCACCAGTTTCCATTCCCACCAGCAGTGCATGAGGTAAGATGAACGAGTTTTTAAAGCAAGCATATTCAGCTTTAAAAGGCCTATTACACTGTCCATAGAACTTTCTGTGCTGGTGGAAATGTTCTATATCTGTGCTGTCCAATACAGTTGCCACTAGCCACATGTGGCTACTGAATACTTGAAATGTTGCAAGTAAAACTAAGAAACTGAATTTTAACTCTTATTTTAATTATTTTACATTTAAATTTAAATAGCCACATGAGGTTAGTGACCACTGTATTGGACAATGAAAAGAAGGCCTCAAAACTGTCCCAACCAGGTAGGTGACATAGAACTTGTAGATGGCAAAGAGAAATATTTTAATTTCAAACTGTGCTGTTGCTTATTTGTTCTTCACATGTCATTAGCTTGCTCAGCAAGACTGGACATTAAAAAAACCTTACCAGACAGTGGTTTGTGACAACAAAGGGACAGGTAACACTAACGTTTTTTAAGTGCTTTTGTGTATTTGATTTCCTTTTATAAGCAAGATTACTAAATTGAACAAGAAAATTCTTGCCTTATTAAAGCATATTAAAGCATATGATGAGAATGAGTTTGAGGAATACGAGCATCTCATAGCAACTGCCTCGCTCTCAGATGCTTAAGAGTCGTGTTTCAGGAATGATGGAGCTATTGTTTCATATAATGACAACCTTTCCACGGAAAAGCTTCCAAAAGCAAGTTATTTGAATGCCAATATCAACTTATTCTCCCAGAAACACAGAAAGCACTGAATTCTTCTAATGCAGAGGCCCTTAGCCAAGGAACATTACTAACCTTTTCTGATCACTTCTTTCTTTCAGTTCAAGAAACGCACTCCTTTAGGCCCTGCATTTGAGATGCGATTCTTGGGACGTTGGTATGCTTATCCTATATGACATTTCAACAGTTAGTTATTTTTGGTTAGCGTTTTATTTTTTCATATGAAAAATCATATCATGCCCATGGAAATGCAAATCTGCTACCATCCCTATCTTGATATTTTATCTCATTCTTAAATACTGGACAGTGTTTTTGATTTACCCTAATTGAGGGCTCATAAATTCAAGCCATAGTCCATCATACTTGGTGGTTGTAATAACTCTGACCAACCTTATTTTAATTGTAAAATCAGAGGTTACGAGAGACCTCTGATTCTATGCCAGCTGGAGTGTGAGCATTATTTGTATTTCACCGAAAAGTGGAATAGGTGATTCTTTTATGGAATAAAAGAAGATCTGGTCAAGGGTATGATTTAGAGGAAAGGGCACAGGAGTGGGTGCCTGGAGGCTGAGGTTTAAGTCCTGATGCCAAACCTAACAGTAATGGAACCTTGGATACTATGTCACTTAATTTTTCTGAGATCCATTTCCCTTATCTGCATAATAGGAATACGAATAATATTACCTCAAGGAGGGCTGTGAGAACATCATAAGGTGATGTATGTCTATGCGTTTCATAAAATAAAAGTATTATTCAGGTGTGAATTATTAGGATGGGATAACATGGCCAATTCTTTTCCTAGTAAGTCCTGCATATAACACTCCTTTTTTAGGTTATGGTGAATTTGAGTTAATATGTATGCATTCTATTTGTGGTAAAATATACATAACATATAATTGACCGTTTTAAACTTTTTTTGAAAGTTGTCTTTTATTTTTATCTTTTGGTAAGGAAGGTTAGCCCTGAGCTAACATCTGTTGCCAATACTTCTCCTTTTGCTGAGGAAGACTGGCCCTGGGCTAACATCTGTGCCTATCTTTCTCCACTTTATATGGGATGCCGCCGCATCATGGCTTGATAAGCGGTGCGTATGTCTGCACCCAGGATCTGAACCTGTGAACCCTGGGCCACCAAAGCGGAGCACACATACTTAACCACTACGCCACTGAGATGGCCCCCATTTTAACATTCTTTAAGTGTACTGTTCAATGGCATTAAGTACATTCACAATACTGTGTAACATTCACCACTAGCCATCTCCAGAATTTTTTCATCTTCCCAAACTAAAACTTGGCACCCACTAAACAATAATTCTGCATTCCCACCTACCTTCTCCCATCCTAGCCTCTGGCAACCACCATTCTACTTTATGTCTCTACAAATTTGACTATTCTAGATGCCTCATTATAAATAGACTGAAAGAATATTTGTCCTTTTGTGTTTGGCTTATTTCACTTAGTATAATGTCCCAAGGTTCATCCATATTGTAGTATGTGTCAGAATTTCCTTCCTTTTTAAGGCTGAATAATATTTCATTGTATGTATATAGCATATTTTGTTTATCCATTCTTCTGTTGATGGACATTTTGGCTTGTGTCTACCTTTTGGCTATTGTGAATAATGCTGTTATGAACATGCATGTACAAATATCTGTTTGAGTCCGTGCTTTCAATTCCTTGAGTTTATACTCAGAAGTAGAATTGCTGGATCATATGATAATTCTATTTTTAATTTTTTTTTTTTTGCTGAGGAATATTTGCCCTAAGCTAACATCTGTGCCAATCTTCTTCTATTTTGTATGTGAGTCGCCGCCACAGCAAGGCTGACGAGTGGATCCACGTTTGGATCCATGCTCGGGATCCAAACCCATGAACCTGGGCTGCCGAAGCAGAGCATGTGGAACTTTAACCACTCAGCCAGAGAGCTGGCCCCTATTTTTAGTTTTTTGAGGAATTGCTACACTGTTTTCCACAGTGGCTGCACCATTTTAAAATCCCACCAGCAATGCACAAAGATCCCAATTTCTCCACATTCTCACAAACACTTACTTCCTTCTTCTTTTTTTTGGATAATAGGTAGGAGGGGCATCTCATTTTGGTTTTGATTTGCATTTCCCTAGCGATTAATAATGTTGAACATCTTTTCATATGCTTGTTTCCATTTGTATATCTTCTTTGGAGAAGTTTTTATTTAAGTCCTTTGCCCATTTAAACATGACATTTTTAATGTCAATGAGAGTATACACATTTTGTTAAAAAAATATTTTAGGATCTAATAACAAAGTCATAATGTTCCTAAAAGTACCTGTTAAGTGACTCTATTTTGTTATTATTATTACTGTTATTTTAATCATTTACCATTCTTACTGCTATTTAATCTATTTAATGATTGAATACAAGCCATGTTCCAGGCACTGTGTGAAATAGTGCACATGTATCAGCTTATTGGATCTTCACACCTACTCTACACAGCAAGTCGTGTTAGTATTCCTATTTTACAGTTGAGGAAACTGAGACTTAAAGGAGCTAAGTAACTTGCCCAAGGTCCACGCAGCTATTCAGTGGAAGAAGCAGGATTTGAACCCAGGCTGTCAGACTCCAAAGTCCTTGTTCTTAACCACCACACATTATTACCTCTCGATGATGGATGTTGCTCAATGATCCACTGACAAACCTTATGGGACATGCATACTGGAGGAACAATAAATAATAGGTTACTGCTCATGATCTTTCATTTCAGAATACTTAAGGAGATTCATGGACTCATTTCTATGACTATTCTATGTTCTTCTGAAGTGATCCAGCAATATGGCTATCATTTGCTGTTATTTAATAGCTAAAGATGAGATATACTTTGGAATATATCTGAAAAATTATATTCCACAACAACGTATTGCCTTGGTGTGACAGTTTACTAGAGAGTATTCAGCATTCTTATATCCTACTAGAAGAGAATAGTTGCACCTCGTCCATTTATTCCACAAATCTTTATTGAGTGTCTATCAAGTGTTAGGTACTATTCCAGGTTCTGGATATATGAACAGATAAAGCCTGGCTCTAATGGGTGGTGAGGGGGGATATGACAGGCAGTGAACATGCAATTGCATACAAACGTCTATACGAAGTGATGGCGGGGACTAGGAAGAAGCAGAAAGCAGGTAAGAGGAGAGAGAGGTTCTAAGGTGTGGGGAGGGACTGACATTGTAGACACGGCTGTCAGTGAGGGCTTCTACAATGAGATGATGTTTGACAGAGACCAGAATGAAAGGAGAAAATGAACAATGGGTAAAGAGTGAACCAGACAAAGGGAACGACTAAGGCCCTTAGGGAAGAGCCTCCCTGCAATGTTTGTACAACAAGAAAGTAAGGGTGAGCGAACAGAGTGAAAGTGGGGCTGAAATTCATTAACTCTGCTGTTCCTTGACTTCTCCATGGTAAGAATGGAATTTATCAAATGGCAGTGACCTAGTGGGGACCAGAGTTGAAATACACCATATCTAAGATCTCAGTTGGGGGAAATAATACGGAAAACATAGATTTGCTTTCGTACAGCACATGGCACCTGGATTATTTTTCTATTTTCTGGGGGACCATGAATCAGAAGTGTTATGGGGCTGGCCCCGTGGCTTAGCGGTTAAGTGCGCACGCTCTGCTACTGGCGGCCCGGGTTCGGATCCTGGGCGTGCACCGACGCACCGCTTCTCCGGCCATGCTGAGGCCGCGTCCCACATACAGCAACTAGAAGGATGTGCAACTACGACATACAACTATCTACTGGGGCTTTGGGGGAAAAAAAGAGGAGGAGGATTGGCAATAGATGTTAGCTCAGAGCTGGTCTTCCTCAGCAAAAAGAGGAGGATTAGCACAGATGTTAGTTCAGGGCTGACCTTCCTCACACACACACACAAAAAATAAATAAATAAATAGAAGTGTTATGAACAAAAAAGAATTATCCAGGGGATAAGGCACTTCTTAGTCTGGCTTAAAGATACTAAGAACATTTACCTGCACATGCACACCCAACAGGAAGCTAACATTCATTTTTTCAACATCAAATGATGAGCCCTTCAATGTTGGATACATTTGCTCTTTCAAAAAAATAGCTGATGGTCACCAAATCTTCTCTAATGGAGAAGGGAAAAAGAAATCTACAGCGGAGATTTGTTAAAAGCTTAAAGGAGGAGAATTCATGTGTGAGGGTTCATCTGTGAGTTCTAGTACACTTTTTATTGTAAAATTTTGTTAAAAAAATGTTAGCATTCAATTATATGTTCTAAGAAATTTGACATTAGAATCACTGATAATTTAAGAAAAATATAACCCTTCTAGCATTGGATAAAAACCTTAGAGAAATTATCAAAATTAAGAAAATATATTAGTTTCAGCAAGATGTGTGTACATTTGCCAGTTTTCCATATTGGATTTCTGTAGTTAATTCTGAATATCTCAATCCATAAACAATGGAAAATAAGAGTACTTAATTCTATGCCATTATTATATATAATGGTTTGATTTTTACTATATAGTTAACCAAATACTGGAGTAACCACAAATTATAGCCCTTCAGCTCATATAGAATGAACTCCCACCCAGATAACTCCCCAATTCAAACAACTTAAATGACAGCATTTCAGAATAATATCCAAACATTCAATCTCTTTCCAAAAAGTGCCTGTCACATTTGCTACAGAATAAAAATAATCTCGGTCAAGTGTGGAAAAGGAAGGGGTCTGTAGGATTCCAGCCTCCAAACACCACTGTCAAGCACAGAATTTTATTCTTAGAAACAAGAGGATACTGAAGAAGAGGTGATAAAATGGAGACAGATCAAAGTAGGTGGATGAGTTAGGAAAACAGTTTAAACTTCGAAGAGAGAGACTAACAATGAAATCATCTGGATAGAGAAACGGCAGCGGCAGTGTAGGGTGAAAGAGAGGACTCACTAAAGGCCAGAGTGGGACTAATGGCTGCCATTTGGTCTCTAAAGAGAGGCCATCACTGCGTGGACAATTAAAAGGCTGTGCTGCCACCATTTCCCACAATGCCCAATCAAGCATTTCCTTACAATGCCTAATATATTATAGCTGTTCAAAATTAATATTATGTCCTCTATAAATAAAGTCTGAGTAAAATGCAGGTGCTTAATCAAAACCAAATCAGGGGCTGGCCTGGTGGTGTAGTGGTTAAGTTTCCATGCTCCACTTTGGCGGCCAGGGGTTCACAGGTTTAGATCCCGGGTGCGGACCTACGCACTGCTCATCAGCCATGCTGTGGTGGCGTCCCACATACAAAATAGAGGAAGATGGGCACAGATGTTAGCTCAGTGACAATCTTCCTCAAGCAAAAAGAGGAAGATTGGCAACAGATGTTAGCTCAGGGCCAATCTTCCTCACATACACAAAAAAGCAAACTGAATCAGAATCAAATCAGGCCTCCATTTTGAAGTGGGAGTCCAGAAAAATGCCAGTTTCTACCATAATTATGTTTTTTGTAAAGTTTAATCTTTAGAAAAATTAACAAACGTGTTAGTTTTCTATTTTAAAAAAGATATTTACACTGGATTGCACTAAAATAAAATAAAGCAATATGTAATTTTGGCTCAAAAGTAATTAAGAGTAAGTTAATTGTGAATAAGTTACTCAGTGAGCTCTCTCAGACTTTTTGAAGACGCCAGCAACAGAAAACCAAAAGACTGAATTCACACGGCAATGTTCAAGCTTTTTGCAAGAAGTCATGTCTTAGCCTTTGTCACATAAGAAAACAAAATAGTTCTTGCTGTGTCTATAGAGTGGACGAAAAAGTTTCCCTTTTCACCTCAGGGTTCTCGAAGGCATGCTGGGATGATGGTATCCCCTTAAAGTCCTTCACACTTTCTTCCCTATTTCCTCAGATCACAAACCAACCAGGTTACAGTTTAGTAAGAGCTTTGAATTCAGTGAAAAATATCGTCAGCTTTCTAAATAAAGTTGTCTGCAACAAAACAGAATCAACCAGTAAAAAAAAATAGTACCCAAACTAACAAATACATATTATTAGTTTATCCTGCCACTAATTGAACTCCTCATCTAAGTGAGGAGTCGCCTGAAAACTTATGAATTCCGTTGCCATCGCGCAAAACAACCTTCTAATATCCTTTGCCTTTGATGGCTTCTATTACATTCTAGACCTCTAAGAGAAATAAGCTTGTCAGTACAAAATGCCTTAAAGGGCTCTCCCCCTTCAGAACCGCTGAGAAGACATAGAATTTGTTGACTGAGAGGAGGCAATCAGTGTGTCCCCCAGAGGCAGCATCAAAGGCAGATGCTGTAAGCAACCGCAGATTTAATGTGCTTCTTCCCTCCATCTTTCCTCCCTGGCACGCTGGCCTTCCCGTGGGACTGACTCTCATCAAACTGACAAAATGATCATGTGTGGACTCATGCTTAGGCCCAAGGATTTTCCCAAAGACCAAGGTGGCTTTGAAAGATAATACACAGCTCATTTTTACACTTGAGGCCCACAGTCTATGTGTTTTAGAAGTTGGATGGCTGAAAAATCTCAGATGGAGCCAGCTAATTCACTCAGTTCTTTCCTTAAACCCATGAGGCTAAAGGCTATTAAGTTTCATGAGAAATAAACAAAATTTCAAATTAACTACAGTGACCTCCCATTTATGTAGACTGGTAACAGAAGGGATTGTTTGGATTGGCAGAATAAATTGGTTAACTCAGAGTTACTGTATACTAAGCTGGGTGACATCAGGTAAGTTATTTAATCTCTCATGCCTCAGTTTCCACATTCAAAAAATGTGCAAAAGTAATGTACCCACACCAGAAGATTGTTGTAAAAACTAAATAAATTAACATAAGAAAAGCACTAATGACAATGTCTGATACATAAGAGACAAAATAAATATTAGCTACAGCCAAGGAATGCAGGTGCCGTGTACAACCTGAAAAAGGCAAGGAAACAGATCCTATCTGAAGCCTACAGAAAGGGACGAGCCCTGCAGAAGCTATGATTTTAGTCCAGTGAGACCCTGGACTCATGACCTACAGAACTGTAAGATAATAAATTTGTGTTGTTTCAAAATACTATATTTGTGGTAATGTGTTAGAGCAGACGTAGAAAATTAATACAGATGGAGAGTCCAACTTGCAAGTGGAAAAGGCGAGGAGCAATGGGGACGAGAGAAGTTTCTGGAAGAGGTCATGGCTGAGCTGAGTCTTAGAGGATGAACAGAAGTTATGTAGAGTGAGGGCACTCTGGGCAGAGGTTCCACTTTGGATAAAGACCTAGACATGATAGTTTCACTGATCCAGCGAACAAAGTTTGAAAGGCGGAATGTTTGAAAATGAGGCTGGATAAATTTGCAGCGGTCTGGTCATAGGGAGCTTGCCATAATATGGAGTCTAGTCTTTAGCCTATAAAAGAGGGGGCCTCAGAGGGGCTTTGTGTTTTGGAAATATTACTAGGGTAGATGGAGGATGGGCTTGAAGAGAGCAGGCCAAGAGAAAGGAGACCACATAAGAGATCCAAGTGGGCGGTGGTAGAGTCTGAATTAAGGCAGTGGGAGTCCTAACAGAAAGGAAGTGCCAATTTGGGAAATATTGGCCAGCAAAATTGGCAGGCATTAGTCATGGTTTGGATGTGAGGCATGAGGATGAAGATAGAATCCAGACGACCTCTGCATTTCTAGCATGGGTGACTGGGGAGATGTAGGTGCCCTCAAATGAGATACAGAGTGGAGGAGGAGGAGGAGTTGATTTAATGGGAGATGATGAGTTTCTTTTTGAATGATCTGAGATGACCAGATGGAGACACACAGCTGACAGCCAAATCAGTTCGTCTGGAACCTATGGGAGCCTCGGCTGATGAGATAGATTTGACATCTGGAATGACGAGTCTCCATCAGCAGATGGGGGATAATTTAAACAGTAAGACTGGATGACATCGCTTCAGAATGAGAAGAACAGTGGGCTGAGGGTAGGACCCTGGGAGACAGTAGCATGTAAGAGGTGCTGCAAAAAAGAGATGCTCGTGAAAAGGATAGAGGAGAAATGAGCAGGAAATACCATGGAGAACTAGTAAGTGTGGCATTTCAGGAGACGAGGAAATAGTTTCAAGAAGGGAAGGAGAGATAGGGTCAAATGTAGCAGGGCTCGGGAAGATAATAACAGGATGATGATGATGGTGGTGGTCTTAATCATCATTATCATATAATTATAATAATGACAACAGCAACTAGCACTTCTTTAGCATTCATTATGACACAAGTACTCGGATTTATTTAACCAGTACACATATACCACGTACTTCCTACCAGAAACTACTTTAAATGCTTTATAAGTTTTAGCTCATTTAATTCCTAAAACAATCCTATGAGGTAGATACTATTACCAGCCCCATTTTACAGATAAAGAAATAGAAGCACAGAAAGGTTAAGTGACTTGCCCAAAATTTCCAAGACTCTCTAGAGGCCACTTTCTTAACCACTCAGCTCTGCTGTCTCATGCCCTTTCTCATCTAATTTTTGCCATACATAAACCAATGAGTAGGTTCCACCATCATCCTAATTAAACAGATAAAGTAATCAAGGGTTAGCAAAGTTAACCAACTTGCCCGTGGTCCGCCAGCTCCAGTGGTGAGCCCGGACAGGTGAGATCAGGCTGAATGAACCGGCCTGCATATTGAAACTAATCGGTACAAGTATAACTGGAAGGAGGAGGCTCCAGATGGCATCTCGCACAAGACACGGGTTTCCTCTTTTTGCTTATCCGGCAGATCAGGTGAGGGGATGATCCAATCCAACCAAGGATTGAGCTGGGCTGGGGATAGGTGGCAATTTTTAAGATTTAGTTCAATTCCAGTTTGTTCTTATCCCTTGGTTGTGGTTCTGGTTGAGAGCCAAGTGGGTCTCTGTCTCCTGTGAGATTGTGGGAGATGCCGATTTGTCCTTTGGAGGTTTGTTAATTTTTTTCTCACTAAAAAGGAGTGGGAACAAATCCCAACTAAGTGAACTTTTTGATCATTTGATTCCTGTATAAATGGTAGGCCAATATCTGGGACAGTTCTTTAGAATTAGGAATTCTTTATTGGCTTAAAACAGAACATAGAGGCTCCCAAAACACATAGCTATGTATTTCTTATTCTTCACAAAATACTATGACTTTCTTTTGTGTGAACAAAGCCTGGCAAAGCCCTGGTGTTCTTGCATTTGCTGTCTTCCGACCAGGCTTAAAGGAATGCATTGGGGGTCCCCTGTTCCAGGGAACTCTGACCACCGGGCATCAGAGGCTGATCTCAGAACAGAGTCAGTACAAACAACAAACAAAGCTGAAACTCAGCTGGGCCTTGTGCCCAAGAAAACCAGCCACACATGAACTCACACCATGGGGGAAGGAGGAAGAGAAAAAAGTTCCAAAAACAAACCAAGGAGAGAAAAAGGCAGGCTGAGAAGCTGGCTCCACAGTGACTGGCCCCCACACGAATGTGTGAGAGACAAAGCCTGAGAAAGAAAAGCTTCCCTAGACTTGCCAGGGAAAGGGCTCCAACCTCTTGACTTACTTGAAAAGCAATGACAGAGACCAAGAGCTCTGACTCTACTGAGAAAGGAGATGGCTTTGGTTCATCTGTAAAATAAAATAGGTTTTGTTTAAAAAGAAAAAATCAGAAATGCTTTAACATCTTCTATATTATTTATATGTAGAAGTCATCCTAACTAAAACATTTATTTGGAAATGTATGGATTAGTTAAGATAATGATAGCTGCTGTAACAGATAAATCTGTGACAAGAGGTTTTCATGTATTGAGGTATATGGGGTAACTACTCAGGTTCAAAACTGATTCGGCTTGAACTAAAGAAGCCTGACTTATGGCCTATCAAACATACATTGTATACCTGCTTTAAACATTAAAGAATGCACTCTTGATAAGAATGCATACTTCCCCTCCTACGCCAGTATAGTTAATGCCCTGTATTAGTCCCTTTCCCTGACATCATCAGGGTCATCTTGACCTGTTAATTTGCAACTCAGTATCTCTTTGAAACTTTGATGAATATATATCCCGGGCATGTTTAATGTATGTCCTTTGTTCTAAAAATGTATAAACCCTTACTGAAAACCCTGCTTCTCTGGAATGCTTTCTTCCTTTGTGGAAATTGCCTTCCTGGATTATAATCCTCACCCTGGCTCAAGTAAAACACCTTCTTTCTCTTATCTATAGAATGGTTATTGGTTATTTTGCATCAACACCTGAAACGTCAGTGGCTTAACGCAATGGAAGTTTATTTTTTCTTCATATGAAGTCCAACCAGTGGATGGATGGGAGGAGGTTGTGCAATGCTCTGCTCTAGGCAGTCTTTCAGGGACCTAGGCTAGACATAACTCTGTCATCTGTATCATGTAGCTACCTAGGTTGTCCTGGACACTGATATCCAGCTAGCAGAAAGAGAAGACAGAGTAAAGGATTGTACACGTGATTTTTATTCACCAGGTCAACAAGTGATATAAGACACTTTTGTCTACATATCACTGGCTAGACAGAATGCAGTCACATGGCCACACTTAAATACAAGGAGTATTGGGAGATGTATCCTCTGGCTGGGCAATCACTCTCCAGCAAAAACACCATAGTGTAGAAAGGAAACACTAATCGTTGGTAGAAGCAAGATGTCTCTTCCCCAATGGATTTGCTATTCTTTACTACAACTGTTTATTGTATTGGTTTGGAAAACAAATAGAGGAAGAGAGAAGTAAGATCATCAAATTAACACATTCTGCTGTTTAAATAGTGTTTCTTGAGAGGAGACCTATTGCCATTTTGGGCAAGACAGTTCTTTGGTTGCTGGACTGTTTCTCTTACTGTACCATGTTCACAACTCTGATCCCTGCCCACTAATACCGAGCTCTCCCAGACACCATGACAACAAAAGAAATGCCACACCTTTCCAACAGCTCTTCTCAGGGTTGGTACTGCCGTGGCTGAAAATGACAAGTAGAATTTCAAAGTATTGGCTAATTCTTAACTCTTGCTGAATCAGGTTATCAGAATCATCTCATAAAGCAAACCTCCCAATGGCTTCCACTCTAATTAACAGTCCCCTAAGAAATCATGTATTTTGCCTACTGTACCATATCAAATGTGACCATAAAGCAACGTGCCTGACTCCACTGCCAACATCACAAAAGAGTGCTGTCCATTCAAAACAGTCACCTTAGGGTGACTAGCCACTTAGTGTAATGAGGTTACCATTTCTTTAAATGTTTTTATAACTCTCCTTTTGGAATCATCTTCAGAGATAGTGCTACATAGAAACATGAGTTGTTGAGCTTGAGGGAACCTCAGAAGTTCCTTAGTCCAATTTCTATCCAATGCTCAATCCTTTCTGTTATGCCTCTGTTAGCAGTTCTTCAATCTTTATTCATTCAATAGCATGTGTCCTGAGGTGCTGCCTTGAAGCTGAGGGCAAGGCAGTGATGCATAACAGTCACCAACCTCATAATTTAATAAGGGAGACTGGTATGTGGGTAGATCTTTACAATATAAGTAGGTAAATGCCATAGCTAAGGCAGGAAGGGATTGCTGTGGAATACAAATGAAGGAGAGACTGAATTAGCTTCAAGAGTAGACACTTGATTTTGCTTTGAAGGGAAAGATTGAGTTTTCCAGACTGAGAAGCTAGGGTGTTGGTGGTAGGGGTACCATTAGGCATGGGCTTGGGTAGACTATAGGTATTGTAAGGGGCTGGGGAATGAAGGGGGCCTAGAAGGTTTGGGAAAGAATAAGGGCCCTGAGAAAGATAGAACGGGAATGGATGGATGAATAGAAGTTGGATGGAGGGGCAGACAGAGGGCAGACAGAGCCTGAGACAGCAGAGGCAGCAAGCACACTGCCAGACTTGGAGGGACCTGGACGCAGGCCTTCAATTTAAACATCTCTAATGAGACAGACTTCTGGGTGAAACCAACTTCATATCTGGACAATTTCAGGTGTTTTAAAGGTCTTTTCAATATTCAGCCCAAACGCGTTCCTACCCTTCTGCCTTGATTCTACTTTCCTAGATATGTAGATTGAGCATATTCACTTTTCCACAGATCAGCCCTTCCAGAATCTGAAGACAGTTGTTACGTCTCCATGAATGTCTCTTGTTCTCCAGGCTACATGCCCTCTTCATATGTGTTTTTCTGTGAGGAGTTTAAAATCCCCTTTTCATTCTTATCATAGTTTTCTGTGCTGGAGACATTCCAGGTGGTCAACATTTCCCTTAAAATGTGGTACCCAGACGGAACACACTATTCCAAGTGTGGTTCACCAGCACGATCTTTGATCTGCATTGGAGCATCAAATGAAGTTACCAAACAGACATACCATATTACTGAGTCATGCTGAACTTCCTGTGCTGCTGGTAAGCTCATTCCCTATTCCATTTAGGGGCAGATGTTTTTTGAATGTGAGTGCATTGATCAATTTATGTTTCCTTTGGTAAGATTTGGTCCATTTTTCCAGGCTGTTTAGAGCTTTTGGAATAGTCCTTCTAGTTTTATGATGTCTTGGGCAAGCATGATAAGCATGAAGCCAATGTCCTCTTCCAAGTTCTTGACAATGATGTATAATGAGACAAGGCTAAGACAGAACTCCATAAATTGCCGCCCAAGACCTCTCAAAAATAGGCTGTTTGTGCCACTCTGAATCTTTATCCTTGAATATTCTTACCTTATTCCACATTTTAAAATCTTTTGTTTTCATATCTAAGTTCATCAGTGAACTCTATGAGCAGCCAAATTAGTTTCTTGAGTTTCCTTTATCTTTTCTGCTTCACTGATTACATAGTCAGAATTTTATTTCTGACACTCTCTTACTCTTTTTGAGAAAACTACCCTTTGAGTCATTGTCCATCAATTTCTACTAATGTTTGCTCAAATATTTAAAAATTCTGAAGTCATGGTTATGTGCCTGATTATGAGCCACTTCTCAGTACAGTGTTTTGTTTTTTCCTATATGAATTTTAAGATAACATGGACACCCTTGGGATCTCCCTCTTTAATCAATTCCTTCTTAATTCCTTTAATTCCTCCTTATTGATTAAATACATTTTTCTCATTGTTGCTCTTACATTCTAGGAGATTATGTCAACAAGGGTGGCACAACACAGGGAAATTTTCTAGACTAATTTTCTAGACTGAAGGAACAACACCAGAAAAGACAGATAAGTAAAGATAACAGCATGTTCTGCAGATTCTTCATGTATATATGTTTAGTTCATGTTTTGCAGGTAGATTGGCATTTTTTTGATGACAGAAAGGGACTACATCTTTTCTGTAGAATATTAGTTCTTCTGCTTCTATCACAGTGTAGTGGCAAGTACACAATAGGGGCTCAATGAATATTTTTGAATAACTAACAACAACACGGTTTGATGATTAAATGCACACAACTTTCACCCACTGGCTGAAGCAATTAATGTCTTGGAGATTCATCCAATGTGTAACACCATTCCTTAAAGAAATATTTACAAACATACAGACATCTACATGATAGATCAAGAGATAGTCAAAAATAAATTGAAGTTTAGAAGGAAAAATTCACCTTTAAGAAATCTCCTGGAGAAATCAGTAAATCTGTGTGAAATAAACATTACAAATGAGTTTACAAATACACACACAAACATTCACATCCCCAGTGGCCATTACTTGCCCAGACCAAAGGTATAAAAGTAATCATTTTTAATCTTTTTTTTTTCAAAAATTATACATTTAAAAGACCAGGTTCTAGTTGTCTTTGGACTTTAGCAGATTAACTAATAAATAAATAAATAAAACTATACTGCCTAAACCATTCTAACATGGTATAAAATCTCTCTGCAACCAGAATCTAAAATTATAGTTTTTTCACCCGAATTATCAGCTCTGCGAGAGCCCTATATGGCAAGTACTGACTCTTATTCATCAAGATAAAATATTAGCTTTTATTTTTTCACTTACAAAGTGCATAATGATTAAGGATTCCAGTTGCCAAGGGTGAAATGCTGCTTCAAACTCGAAGTTCAATTGTTTTGTGAATTTGTAATTGCACCCTTTCTGAAGGATGGGGAAGGCAGAGGAGGAAATTCACAAAAGTGACACAAAGCAGATAATAACAGAGTCTCATGAAGAATTCATAATGATGTTCAAGATGTGAAGGAAAGAAATTGTTTTCATCACAAAAAAAATGATCATCCACCACTAGCCACCGCTAAGATGGCTGTAGATCTCAGGACCCACCTTGTGTTCTGACAACAGATTAAACATCCCGGTCCTGACTCCAGAGAAAATTCTTATTTGTCTGGATCCACCATGTCTGTGAAGGTAGGGGGAAGGTTGTTTGAGAGAACTCACCAGGCACTCACTTGATGCTCATGCCTGGTAACAGAAATGGGTGAGTGTTACCCCAAAGTTAAATCCAAATTTAAAACAGTGAGCAAACTTGATCTCTTGACCAACATTGAGGGCAGCCCCAAGGTTAGAAAGAGAGAGAACTAGAAGGATGCTAATATTTGTTGAGAATGTACTAGGTATCAGGCATGGTGCTGGATGTTCCTTAAAAGTTCCGTGTCAACCAATTCAAGTAACGATTAACATGCCCAACTTATAGGTGCGATCATTAAACAGGATAGAAACATGTAAGTTGCCCACAGTTACAAAGTCAGTTGGTGGCAGTGCGTAGAATCTCTCCAAACACCATCACACTGTCTTCTGCTTCATCCTACCTCACTTTTTTGTATTCTTCCTCCTTTTAACCAGATTAGGTACCAAGTACTTTTATGATGTGGCTCCCTGGCCAACCAGGTCATCCAGCACCCTCCCCCTCTCCCACACGTTCACCCTCAAGGCCTTGCCTTGATATCAAACATTTTAAGCATGTTTTCAATGTCCCCCTTTTAGGTGATGAACTGAAGGAAAGCTGTCAGAGAAGGAAAAACCAGCTGGATGCTAAGGTGGGCCCTCAATGATGGCATTGTCTTGGTGTGACTTTCATTATCCTCAATCAGTTTCTCAGCTTTTCAAAAGCAGAATCAGGATGTCATTAGTTCATTCAGAGATGATCAGACTGTGAGTGACTAATGAATGTTCACCAAACTTGAAAAAAAAAAAACGATTACTAACACAGTTGCCTATTTACTAAGTTAAGTGGAGATGCTACCTATGTCCAGAGATATAAATCTTGTTCTCCACAGAACTGCTTCTCAGTATAGGGTACCAGAGAAACCAAAGCAGAGAGGAAATATTCCTGAAGTCTATCATCCAAGCTGTAGAAAGGCCTGATGAACTATCTCCATTCCACAGTAAATGCATATCTTTGATGACCTGTACCACTTACATACAACTATCTCCTTTGGATAATGCTCAGGAAACACTGACAAATTTTTTATTTTATTTATTTATTTATTTATTTTTTCCCCCAAAGCCCCAGTAGATAGTTGTATGTCATAGCTGCACATCCTTCTAGTTGCAGTATGTGGGACTCAGCATGGCTGGAGAAGTGGTGTGTCGGTGAGCGCCTGGGATCCGAACCCGGGTCGCCAGCAGCGGAGTGCGCGCACTTAACCACTAAGCCATGGGGCCGGCCCGACAATTTTTTAATATTACTCCTTTCTCTGTGAGTCTTCACATGTCTCATGATATCATGCCAACCAAATGAACGGATTGACATTTTATTTCAGATCGTTTCACCACGTCTTCCTTAGAATGCACTATTCTAGCAATGCTGTTGGTCTCTTAGGCTGTTTGGTCTGGATTATTTAAGTTCATCCATTACGAAATGGATGATGGGAAAACGGGATAGCCACATGCAAAACAATGAGGTTGGACCACGACCTTACACCATACACAAAAATTAACTCAAAATGGATCAGAGACCTAAATATAAGAGCTAAAACTAAAGAACTGTTAGAAAAAAGCATAGGCATAAATTTTTGTGACCTTGGATTAGGCAATGATTTCTAAGGTTGACATCAAAATCATAAGCAAAAAAGGAAAAAAAATAGATAAATTGGACTTCATCAAAATTAAAAACTTTTGTGCTTAAAATGACACCATCAAAAAAGGAAAAGAAAACCTAAAGAATAGGAAGAAGTATTTACAAATTGTATATCTGATAAGTGACTTTTATTCAGGATATATAAAGTCTTCTTATAAAACTCAACAGCAAAAAGACAAATAACCCAATTAAAAAATGGGCAAAGTATTTGAATAGATACTTCCCCAAAGAAGATATGCAAATGGTCAATAAGCACATGAAAAGATGCAGAAGCATTAGTCAGGAGAGAAATACAGATAAAAACCACAATGAGATGCCACTTCACACCCGTTAGGAGGGCTATAATCACAAAGAAAGACAAGAACAAGTATTGCAGAGAATGTGGAGAAAGCGGAACCCTCATCCATTGTTAGCGGGAATGTAAAATTGGGCAGCTGCTTTGGAAGAGTTTGTCCCTCAAAAAGTTAAACACAGAGCTGCCATATGACTCCAAAATTCTACTCCTAGGTATACACCCAAGAGAACTGAAAGTATATGTCCACACAAAAACTTGTGTACAAATATTTATAGCAGCGTTATTCAGAGTAGCCAACAAATAGAAACAACCCAAAGGTCAGTCAACTGAAGAATGGATAAACAAAACATTGTATCTATACAATGGAATATTATGTGGCCATAAAAAGAATGAAGTACTGTTATATGCTACAACATGGATGAACCTTGAACACATTATTGTAAGTAAAATGAACCAGTCACAAAAGATCACATATTGTATGAGCCCATTAATATGAAAAGTCCAGAAGAGGCAAATCTATAGAGACAGAAAGTACAATAGTAGCTGCCAGGAGCTGGGGGTAGGTGAAATGGAGAGTGACTGCTAATGAATAGGGGGTTCCATTTGGGGGCAAGGAAAATGTTCTGGAATTAGATAGTGGTGATAATTGCAAAAGTCTGTGAAAATACTAAAACTCACTGTATTGTACGCTTTAAAATGGTGAACTGTGTGATGTGTGAATTATATCTTAATAAAGCTGTTATTTTAAAAAGAGCATATCTGAGTGACTGACCAAAAGCTTATACATCAGTATTTTTTTGGAGTATGATTTTTAAACAAATATTACCAGCCTATGTAAAACAAAGAACGGTTTAAAGAACACATTTTCTCCCCCTCTAAGGTGCAGTAAAATGATCTGGAATGTTGAAGCGCAAAGAGAAAATAAATGACAAAAGGGACAAGAAACTATTTTAAAAGAAATTATTTTATTAAAACAGTATTCTGGTTACTTTAAGATCATTTTATAATGCTGTTTGGGAAGCCACCCTGAGAGATTGTGTGATAAATGGCACCAACTTATTATGAGATCATTTTAGTTCTTTAGTAACCAAATTCTCTAAATGGATTGCCCAAAGTATACTGAATATTGTTCTATATAGAATCCTTCTGTTGTGAGGTATTAATGCAGGAAAGCTTTTAACTGTTAAAGAAAATCTTTTCAGATAAAAAGAGAACTTGATTAAATGGAAAGATGGCAATTATGATAATAGTATAAGATATTCTCTTTTAAGCAATACCAAAAGTACAGAAAATATCAAATGTGGAAACTGCATAGTCTGATTAGCTCAAAACCGGAAGACAGAACCTGTGTTTAGAGTTAGGTAGAGAACTAGAAGAATAAGAAGGCAGACAATTACCAGAATAATGTTATTCTTGTAATCTCTGAGGTTGCACATAAAAATCATAATATTAATAAAGTATATGAACCATAAGAATTGATCTTCCAGATATATAATAACAAAATTTAAATTCAAAAACAGTCCTAGGACTCTTTATAAAAATGGTGCATGAGGAAGAGATCTGCTCCATTTTTCTCATATCCTCTACCAAATTCAGTATGAAATGCTAGATCATTGAAACAACAGAAGAGCACTGATGCAAAATTTAGCATTTACTTGCTTTATTACACATGTATATATTAATGTTAATAGTTTGAAGCACCAGCTCTTTCATATTTATTAAAGTGCATAGTGAGGGGAAAAAAGAATACTCGTTTTCTTCCTTTCCTCTTCCTTATTTTCTTTCCTTCCCCTCCTCCTTCGCTTGTTCCTACACTTCCTTCCCATCTCTGTTATTAGTAACATAACGTCCATGTACACATTGTTCATGGCTTTTGCTTCAAGGGTTCATGACATTTTAGAAGAGGCCTCTTCAATTTTTAGAAAGTCAGTAGAATGAGTATTTGGCCATAGAAATGTAAATCAAGAAATTACTTACCTGTTGTTTGAGGTAAGAACAGGATATTGTTGTCTTTGAAATTATCTGGATCTCAAATGTTATTGATGAGTAAAATTAGGTGGGCAGCCCACCTATCCACCACACCTATTGTTTTATTATTTACTGTTTAATTCTGACAATTAGCATTGTTCTTGGCACAATTAGTATTTGTTGAATGAATGTAGCAGGGCATATAGCTATATTTATGAGATCACTCATAATCACATTACGAATACATCAGAAATATGAATATTTCTGGGGAATACACAAAGAGGATATCTAGAAAGGCTAAAGAAGATCTTGCAAACTAAGATCCCCTGAAACAATTCACATGTCCTCTTTTCTCAGGCTATATAGACTTGGGGTTGATGATCTTATAAGGTATATAGAGATGTTTGATTTATATGACCCCAGAGTTGACTTTAACGTAAAAAATAGAAGTGATGAAAGTCTCCAGTATCTGAATAAGTGTTGGAGTACTTTTTGGCATTCTTTATTCACAGATACAAGTACTGTCGGGAAAATCACGAGATTTCCATTTCTATTTTAATGCATAAATAAAAAGTGAATAATAGTCAAAGAAGGGCTTTTGTAACAAAGCATTTCCACCCCATGCATAAATCTGTGTGTGTGTTTCTTCACTTTGCTCTCTTACCTTGTAACCTCACACAAGGGCTATAATAAGTAATAGAAAAGTGGTTAACCACATGAAACAACAGACTTGCTTATGACATCTATGGAATGTTTTGTCTGTGATTTAAGTGAGTAAAAAGCATAATGACTATTACAGACACAGAAGAAAAAGGCAGTTGAACTTCAACCATAAGGAAGAGTGAACATCCTTCACCTTTGCTGGAACTCTGAAGATACCTCCAATTTCTTTTCGGTGAGGAGAAAGACACTTCTTTTATAGTTCAGTATCCTATCTCACCTCGAATGTCTCTAAACTTTTGAATCTATTGTCATTCTAAGCCCAACTTCTGGAACCTCTCTCATCTTCTAAGTAAAATTTTACTTATCATATTTGATGGTGAGGATGTCTAGTACTTGCCAAGATGGAGTCAGTGGTCCTCAGACTCTCTTTCTACGTATTCCAATCAAAGGGTTCAGACAGAATACAAAAAGCAACTATCTGAGGACTCTGAAAAGTAAACAATTGCAGGCAGATAGTGAAGAAAGTCAAAACTTGAAGAATGGCCAGTATCATTGAATTTTCTGGTTAGGGTAGCCCAATGGCCTAAGTTGCAGAACTACACCATGGGCATGGGCAGCAAATATAGAGAGAAACCCCTATTTCTGGCCAGACAACTAGAAAAAGGGGTTCCTATAAGCTAAAAGTTGCAGACGGAACACCTGGGGTTTTCATTTTTCTCCCCTTCACCCAGCCATGCTCTGAGGACAGTCATGAGCTGTATTGAGGTGGTAGGGACAGTAACGGTGGCAACAATGACATAGGTATATAAAACTCCAAGAGAAAAACCTGCCTCTCTGGCCAGAGGAACCAGAAAAAGAGGTCCCTTAGGTCTGAAGTATGCGGTAGGAATCCCTGTAATTGTTTTCCTCCCTCTTTTTTCTTGTTGCTTCATTCCAATGGTGGAAGTAGTCACTCAAAATATCCAACAGTTTAGGGGGAGAAACCCATCTTTCTGGCCAGACGAACCAGGAAAAGGGGTCCCTGTGGAAACAGAGAGTGTGAGAAAATCCCAGGGAGGAGAGGACTGGAGAAGTTGACCCCCTAATTCTATATTATATACTGATACAAATCCCAGGCTTACCCCCAAGACATGCATGCATGGAACAGATGCAAATGATGGGGTTCAGAATACACTATCCCCAAATTCGTCACCTTGGCATATTGAGTATTTTAAGCTGAAGGAATTTGAGAACTGACAGATGCAGGAAGGCCTTTCTGATGCCCCCTTTCTTCCTTGAAGCAGGGTGTAGAAACAGAAGGTGCTGGAAGTATGCTCTGACCTCTGCGTTTTCTCCTGAAGCACATCATAAGACTCTCTTGTGAGAGGTATCCTCATCTCTGAAGACGGAGGAGTACAGAGAGGAATCCAAGCGAACAAGCCTTCCTAAGTTTTCCCCCCATTTATGATCCTTAGCTTATACCCTTTTGTCCTATCACATTTTTCCATGACTTTCCACTCTGCATCAAACCTAATATAAAAAGGCTCAGGTTTAACCATTTCTTCAGGGATTCATTTCCTTATGAAGGCTCCTATGTCATGTACAACTTATATTAAATAAATTGGTATGCTTTTCTCTTATTAATCTGTCTTTTATCTGTTCAATTTACAAGGCCCTAGCCAGAGAACCTAGGATGGTAGTAGCAAAAGGAATTTTTTCTTCCCCTACACAAAGAAAGAAAGAAAGAATAATGAGAAGAGCAGAATAGAACAAAATTGAAAACAGAAAATCTATAGAGAAAATTAATGAAAACAAAAGCTAGTTCTTTGTAAAGATAATAAAACTGGTAAGTATCTAGCCAGAATGACCAATAAAAAGAGATAGGAGACAAATTACCAATATTAAGAATAAAAGAGGGGGTACACTACAGATCCTACAGACCCAAATAATGACAACTGAGATGAAATGTACCAGTTCCTTTAAAGACACAAACTATCAAAACTTACTCAAGAAGAAATATATAACCTGGATAGCCTATCAATATTAAAGAAATTGAATTAATAGTTAAAAACCTTCCAACAAAAAAAATTTCAAACCCAGATGGTTTCCCTGGTGAATTCTAACAAATATGTAAGGAAGAAATAATAGCAATTCTACGCAATCTCTTCCAGAAAATCAAAGAGGAAGTAATATTTTCCAACTCACGTCATGAAGTCAGCATTACCCTGATAGCAAAACCAGATAAAGACATTATAAGAAAACCACAGACCAATATCCATCCTGAACAGACCTCAAAATCCTCAACAAAATATTACCAAATTGAATATAGAAAAACATAAAAAGAATAATACATCACAAGAAATTTGGGTTTATCCTGGGGAAACAAGGCTGGCTCAACATTCAAAATCAATTTAATCATGGTATTAACAATTTAAAGAAGAAGAAGCATGTGATCCTCTTAATAGATACAGAAAAATCATTTGAAAAAATTCAACATCCATTCATGATAAAAAACACAAAAACTCTCAGCAAACCAGGAATAAAAATAAATGCCCTTACCCTAATAAAAGGCAGCAAAAAAAAAATCTATAGCTTACATTATATTTTAAGGTGAAAGACTGAATGCTTTTTTCCTAACATTGAGAGCGGGACAAGTATGTCTGTTCTCATTATTCTTATTCAACATTGTTCTGGAAGTCTAAGCCAGTGCAATAAAGCAAGTAAAAGAAATAAAAGGCATACAGGTTACAAGAGAAGAAATAAAATTGTCTCTATTCACACAAGAGATAATTGCCTGCATGAAAAATCCCAAGGAATTTATAAACACACACACAGAAACCTTCTAGAACTATTAAGTGATATTAGCAAGATCACAGGATACAACGTCAATATACAAAAAAATCAATTGTATTCCCATATATCAGCAACGTACAAAATTTTAAGTACTATTTATGATAGCATGGATAAATACTAAAACATAAATATAAAAAAAAATATGGGCAGGATGTGTATGCTGAAAATTATAAAACATTGGTCAAAAAAATAAATAAATGAAAAGAGATTCTATGTTCATGGATTAGAAGTCTTGATGTTGTCAAGATGCCAATTCTTTCCAAATAGACCTACAGATTCAACAGAATCACATTGAGAATCAGCTTGTATACACCAAGAAGCTGATTTTAACACTTATATGGAAACTCAAATGAACTAAAATTTCCAAAACAATTTTGAAAAAGAAGAGCAAAATTGGAGCAACCATACTACCCAATTTCAAGACTTATGATAAAACTACAGAAATAAACACAGTATGTTGTTGGTAAAAGGATAAACACATAGATCAATGAAACAGAATAGAAAGTCCAGAAATAGAGCCACACAATATGGTCAATTAATTTTTTACAAAGGTACAAGGGCAGTTAAATGAATTGCTAGTCTTTACAACAAATGGTCCTTGGAAAATTGGACATCTATAAGCAAAAGAACAATGAATCTCAAACAATATTTCATATATCTAAGTGTTAAACATAAAGCTATATGACTCTTAGAAGAAAATCTTTGTGACCTTGGTTGGGCAATGAGATCTTAGATATGCCACCAAAAGAAAGAAATTGATATATTGGACTTCATCAAAATTAAGAACTATTACTCTGTGAAAGACAGTGTTAAGAGAATGAAAAGACTAGCCACAGACTGGAAGGAAATATTTGGAAATCACATCTCCAACAAAGGCCTTATGAGCAGACTATATAAAGAACTCTTAAAATTCAACAGTAAGCAAGCAATCCAATTTAAAAATGCACAAAAGATTTTAACAGATCCTTCAAAGAAGATATATGGATGACAAATAAACATATGAAAAGATGCTCAACTTCATTAGTCATTCAGAAAATGCAAATTTAGACCACAATCAGATACTGTTACACACTAGAGTGACTAATATTAAAACAAAAAAAGACATTACCAAGCGCTGGCAAGATGCAGAACAACTGGAACGCTCACATACTGATAGACATTGATATAGCTTTAACTTCTCAAAGGAATAACCTAAAAGGTCTTAAGGCACTGATTGCTTCCTATCAGTGTTGCTTGGCTGTGAGGCAGAAAAACTGAAGATCTACGAGGATTTATGGGTATGACTTCAGACGAGCTGGAGGAAACCCCATAATAAAAGGGACCTTGCTATTAGTGCTTCTAAACAAGAAGGACCAGTGTGGTTACAAGTCAAATAAACTAACTCTAAAGAAGGCCCAAACTCTTCTATGTCCTGAGGGGAACAGGCACTGCTTTGCCGCCCTGTCTTAATGAACAGTTTTTTAGTTAAACTTGCCAGAAGTATTAAGTTTACTTCAAATGGCTCTTTGGAATAACCCTTAAAATGTTAACAGCAGAGTGCAAATTTGTTCTTGGATACTGGATGTTAAGTATTTGTTTGTTTGTTTGTTTTAAGGGGGGCATTATTCCCAGGAGCTGAAAGCCAATGAAGCAAACTTATAAAGCAACTTCTGTATTTTGATAAGATTTTCTTATTTTCATACAATTTTAGATACAGGGATTTTAGAGATATCATAGTTCTTGTTCAGTGCATTGATTTC